GATAAAGCAGAGTAGTGGAGGGGATGTTTGATTGGCTTGGACTTTAAATAAACTCAGATGAGTACATGTAGGTACAGGTACATAGAACTGGTATTTCTGGTGTACAATATTACATTCTTATTTTTCTCTGTTGCCTTCAGAGGACGTGGGTTCAATTTACTTAGTGCTAAGGTTTTTTAGTGAGTATCTCAGTTTGCTGGGACAGTGTTTCGGTCTCAGCCAGGTGGGGCCTCGACAGGCAGGGTCGAAGCAGCTTTTCTCCTGAATAATCTAAATTGTGTCAGTGGGGCGTAGAATATCTATGATATATTGGTACCTCAGTGTTTGAAAATTTAAATAACCAGAAATAGCTTAAGGATTGGGTTCTTTGCTGTTGCACATAGAGGACTTGAGTTTTATTTCTACGCAGAAAAGTTTTTGGGGTTTTATTTTATTAAGTGCATCCATTTGTTTGCTTGGATGTTGTAGCCTCGTAGCCCAGGTTGTCTCAGACAAGCAGGGTGGAGCAGCCTGCCTCCTAAATAATCTAAAATAGTTTCAATGGGAGCTTAACACACGAGTTACACGTACAGTCATTTGTTGCAATGAGATTAATTGGTCGCTTTTAAGGACAAGCAGGCTAACCCAGATTCCGGGGGTTTCCAAAAATCTTGATCTATACCAAAAGTGGGCATTGCCCTACTTATAGGAGAAGTTTGGTGTCATTGATGTGTATATTTGTTTGGTCCGAAATCTTTCCTTGTATTTTAAAGAAACTGAACAAGGGTCCAAGAACTTTATCTTCAATTTTCTCAATAGGGTACAGCATTTTTCGGGATAGCTCTATTGTGCTTAAAAGCGACCAATTCTTCTTACAGTTATTATTTCTTCCTGCTAGGTATGAGCAAGTGACCGGTGGTCAGAACCACGTGATGGATGTTCTGTACCACCTGACCACCTACACCGCCGGGGCTCTGGCCATGGGTATGTTGGCTGCTTGTCTTCTCTCTGTGCTGTGGCTGATTTGGATGGTGCTGATATGACTTTATTGTGTTGCAAGTGCAGTGAAACTCTTACTAAAACAAAAGCTTAACTAAATAAACCAACTTTTCCTGTTCTATTGTTGTGTACTTGGATAGTATTCCTCATACCCAGCTAGTGGTTGGAAGGTCCGACTTTTATTTTCATCTCTTCCTCTTTTGTTTCTGTCTATCTTGCTTTTTTCTGTCTGAGCACTAAAAGACTTTTATTGAGTTTAACACCCCCCCCCCTCCCCCCCAACACACACACCACTACTCCCCAGAAAACTGCCTGGAGCCGGTGTCCTGTGCTGTGATGACCTACCTCAAGGCTCTTTGCCGTGACTTGAGACTGAGCAACGACTGCGCCACCATCACCACCCTCCTGGCCACCCTTGACCACATCTACTGTCGACACACGGCTATACAGCAAGCCATACTCTCCTGTACGAGATGAGTTGTTGAAAGTATCCCTCCCACCAATGAACGGGCAGTTATGGAATTCGTACATGTTTTGCTTGGTTCCATAAAATTTCCTCTGTGGGTGGTTGATGGGTGCTCTGGTGTGGTTTGCTCCTTCTTTCCTATCAAACATCTTTCGTCCTTATCTCTCTCTTCCTTCTCTTTTTGTTTGTTTGTTTGTTACTTTCCTGTAACACTTCTAATCTTCAGTATATATATGACCTAATTGTGTTGCGAGTGCCGCAAAACTCTGACTAAAACAAAACAATACAAATTTCTTCAATACTAGCCTTTCCCCGTCGTTTTATGCATGAAAAGTTCTGAAATTATGCAAACTGAGCCCAAAAATGTGAAATTATGCGATTCTGTTAATTTTAACAAAAAATGATAAAGGAAAATAATCGGAAATTATGCCAAAAATTATCAAATTTTGCTAAATTATGATGGATGCATAAAACCACTGGGACAGATACTAGCCCTTTGGTATTTTCCTAACTGGATTAGTTATAGCATGGACTGCTTTGATCGGGTTGTCTGGAGGGGCTGACCCAAGTGCTTTGTGGGGTGCAGCTGAGTACAATGATGAAGATATTAACACTTTGCGGTCGCTTGGCGCAATAGTGAGACAGTGAAAATTATCAGTTCCGGTCTCCAAGCACAATTCTGTGCCAGGCTGGAGAAGTCTGTTGCAGTCGCTCTCCTGGCTGGGTGACCAGATAGGGTGTTTTGTACTGCTGGCTGTGTGACTGCAAAGTGTTAAATAATATTACTTCCCCTTGAGAGAGTTGAACTCATGTCATGTCTTCTATGTACGAGATCTACAGCCCGAGCATTACCCTACAGACAAGCTGTGTCAAAATACAGAAGTCTCCGTCTAAGACCGTGGTGCTTGGGAGTAAGTGACATGCAGGATCTTAAGCAAATGGGAACATTTCATCAGGGGGAGAATCCATGGTGAATCACGATGAGGCCCACAATCAGTAAATTAATTATCTCCCCTTACTTTGAAATGACCCCTTGGTGGGTTTATGACCTATGGCGAGCTAAAAGTGGTAAACCTAAACTAATTCAGCCCGTTTGATGATTTTTGACTCCGGATGCAAATAATTCGTGATGGCTTTGTGACGCCACGGGTGGTCTCTCCAAAAGTTTTTTTAAAAAACCATGATCTCTATGTGTGGCATAGAGATGTTCAGAATAAAAATTGCTATTCACTGACACCAGGAAAAAGGGTGGAAATATAAGTGGTAAGGAAAAAAGAATAGAAAAAAGTGATGTGAAGAAAGGGAGCAGCAATAAATAAGAGGAACCCTGAGCAGCTTTGCGTTATAATACAAGAGACAGTCTGCCACGTTGAGCAGCGCTGCGGACTGAATCAGTTAATAACAGATCACAATGGCATGAGTCACTTTTTCTTCCTTTAGTCTCGCTCAAGTCATTGATACATTGCTTCTCCCCTTAACCTGTCCAAAATTTATAGCTTTGCATCTCTAATGGAGGTCCCTACCTTTGTTGTAATGCTCCATATATTGTGACAGCACCGATTAAAATCCAGCAGTCTGTCTAGAAAATTTGGGAGTAGAGATGAAATTCGATGGGCAGAGAAACGGAAGTGACGACGAGTTTACTGTTCGATGTGATCCTGTCTGATGCATCCCCTACATGTGGTGACGTAAGCTTAGACAGAGGGCTCAAATGCGAGTGCAATTTTGGGGGAAAACAGATGTGTCGATGAATTCACACCTCTGCGTGATCCCATCTGGGGGAAACATGGTACCCTATCGTCAAGATTTACAATGGAGATGTGATCACATTCATGAGAGTAGATAATCTGTGATGCTACAGGCAGCACAATGATTGTAAATTTTTACTGCTAGGTTGGTCAGCTGCGTTCGCTCAATTTTTTTTCATCAGTAAATAATGATTAGAAATGCAGAATGTAGTCCTTCAGAGCAGGATCTTAGGGGTGACTTTTAGTAAACTAGTAAAAACTATGTTTTCTTAAAACAGTGGGGTCTAAAGCGAACCAGGATACTAAGTTGTTGGATCTTAGACGGAGGCTATTGTATCAGATGCTGTGTTTGTTTGTTTCTGTCAGGCCCCCACAGAGGTTTGTTTAGAGCTCAGAATGACCTATTTGTGTACTGTAGCACTGCAAAAAATGTCTAGTCCAATGTGCATTTCTTTCAGCTGTGCCCATTCCCTCCCTCCCC